TACATCGTGAAACATAGCGGGTGCAGGGTGAATTGAGAGATCTCAAGGAACAAGGGTGTGGCCCTAGAGGGTCTCTTCGGGTCATCTCTGGGGCCCGCGTGGAGAGCGGGGGGGGGAGGAGGGTGAGGACGACGACGAGGAAGAGGAAGAGGACTAGGAGGAACCACGAGGGCGGAGGTGAGGATGACGAGGACGAGAACGAAGAACATGAGGATGAAGAGAACGATTGGGAGGGCGAGGACGAGGAGGAGGAGGAGGAGGAGGAGGAGGAGGAGGAGGAGGAGGAGGAGGAGGAGGAGGAGGAGGAAGGTGACGACGACGAGGAGGACGGGAAGGCTGGCACGGATGAGGATGACAATGGGGTCTATGACGAGGGCGAGGACGAGAACATCGGGCAGGTGGAGGAGAAGGAGAAGGGCGAGGACAAGGAGGAGGACGATGACGAGGATGACGACGAGGACGAGGAGGAAGGCGACTACGAGGAGGTGGAGGACAGCGGGGATGAGGATTACTGGAGCCATCTTATAAGGACGAGGGCAGGAGGAGGATGAGGAGGAGAAGGAGGAGAACGCAGACGACGGGGACGAGAACGAAGATGAGGACGAAGACGACGAGGAGGAGGAGGAGGACGAGAAGGATAACGAGGAAGATGACGAGGACACGGAGGAGGAGGAGGAGGAGAAGGAGGAGGACGAGGACGATGAGAACGAGGACGAGGACGAGGAGAACCAGGACGCGAACGAGGAGGAGGTGGTAGGAGGAGGAGGAGGAGGAGGAGGAGGAGGAGGACGACGAGGACTCTGGCAGCCACCTTGGGATCTTCTGGATGCCCTCTTGGGGTCCTCTCCAGGCTTCCTCGGGGTCCTCTTGGGGCCTATTCGGTGGCCAGTTCACTCCTCCTCCATCCCTCCATCCTCACTTCTTCCCCTCTTCCTTCCTCGTTTATCCTTCCCTCCCTGCCTCCTCCCTCCTCCCTCCTCCTCCCTCAATCTTCCCCCTCCCCTCCCTCGCTCCTCCTTGCCTCACCTCCTCACCTCCTCTCATCCTGCCTCCTCCTCCTCTTCCCTCCTCCTCTCCTCCTCCTCCTCCTCCTCCTCCTCCTCCTCCCTGCCGCCGTTCCCTCTCGCTGCTCGCTCCTCGCGCCAGCCTCGCCCCTCCCCGAGGCGGGTTGCCCCTTCCTCCTCGCCCGCGCCCTCCTCGAGGCGGGTTTTGCCGCGCGCAACGGCGGCGCCTCGCGCGTCGCCTGCCGCAGGTGGCCCGTCGGCTGCGCGAGTGCTGGGACGTGACGTCGGAGGGGCAGAGCCGCCGGGTGGCCGCGCTGCTCGACGAGTGCCTGCTCTTCGAGGCGGGGCGGCCTCCTTGCGCGCGCGGGGCCCTCCTCCTCCCTGCTCCTCCTCCCTGCTCCTCCTCCCTCCTCCTCTCCTCCTGCATCTCTCCTCCTACTCCCTCCTCCCTTTCCTCCTCATACCTCAACCTCCCTCTCCCTCCTTCTCCTCCTCCTCCTCCCCTCTCCTCCTCTCCGCCCCTCCTCACCCATCCTCTCCTCCCTTCCTCTCCTCCTCCTCCTCCTCCTCCTCCTCCTCCTCCTCCTCCTCCTCCTCCCTCCTCCTCCTCCCTTTCCTGCCTTTCCTCCTCAACCTCCTCCTCGGAGGGGGAGGTGCCGACGCCGCGCCCCTCTGCCTCGCTTTCGGCCTCCCTGGGCCTCCTCTGGGAGGCCCTCGTCGCCAAGGCTGGGTTCGCCTGGGAGAGATTTGGATCAGCATGCGCACCCCAGGAGGTGCCCGGGCTTCGCGGCGTCGATGCCTTTTGGCTTTCCCAGCTCCCCCCCTGGCCCCTGGACGTTCTGGCCGGGTCTTGGAACCGCGCGCCGACTCTACTGGGTTGGGCCTGTGTGATGGTGCTGGGCTTGGACCCCGTGGTCGTGGTCGTAGCCTTATGGGCGAACTTACTCGGGGGCCCGTGGACGAGCGAGTAGACGACGATGCTGCTGCTGATGCTGCTGCTGATGCTGATGGTGTTCCTGATGATGACGATGATAATGCTGATGCTGATGCTGATGATGATGGTGATGATGCAAGTGATGATGGTGATGGTGCTGATGATGATGCTGATTCTGATGATGATGCTGATGATGATGATGCTGATGATGATGATGATGATGCTGATGATGATGATGATGATGATGATGATTATGATGGTGCTGAGGATGATGTGGAGGCTGATGCTACTGATGATGACGATGCTGATGCTGATGATGCTGATGATGATGTTGATGATGAAGATGTTGATGCTGATGATGACTCTGATTCTGATGATGAGGATTCTTAATTCTGGTGAAGATGTTGCTGCTGCTGTTGGTGAGGCAGAGACGGGGGAAAAGGAGGTGGAAGGAGGATCAACGATAGGTGGAGGATGATGGAGGACGTGGAGTAGGAGGAGGAGGAGGAGGAGGAGGAGGAGGAGGAGGAGGAGGAGGAGGAGGAGGAGGAGGAGGAGCAGG